TATAAATAAGTGTATCAGCGTGGAAACATTTAAATATTAACCTGAGTCACATGGAAATGTGACTCACATGGAAAAAAGACCAATTAAGAATATTTACTCAGTCAAATGAGAATAAAATTGATAACAATATATAAAATCTACATATATGTTTGTCAGTAATTCAGTTCATCATATGTTGATGTCATATGGATTTTAAAATTCTTTTTAAAACAGTAAATGGAAGGTGATGTTTTCAAAGAAGTTGGCAGATTATTCCAAAGCTGAGCACCTGAATATTTTATCGAGTGTTGACCTATACTTGTTCTAAATTTTTTCATGTGAAGACAATTTTGGAATCTTGTCTCATGTTCGTGAAATATTAAATTTGGAGTAAAATAATTTTCAAATATGTCAAAAGGAAAGCCATTGGGTTTTGTTGTGTATTGATAAAGAAATTTTGCAACTTCAAGCTTATGTATTGTATTGTATTTATTATTTATTATAGTGTCACGCCATAAAATATTACATAGTACTAAAACGATATTAAAAACATTGGCCCTGCCCATGTCGGCATATGAGACACTTAACAACAATTCGATTAATAAGTTAATATAAGAATGTTCGACGTTTCATACAAAGTTTAATTACAGTCTTTGCTAGGGAACGTTGCAACAATTCACAATTCATAAGTAAGCAATACTGTCCTAGACTAGTGGTATCAAAGTCATTCCCTATTAGCGACCTGGCCTTATGCAAAAGCTCTCTCCTCTCAGTCTCATAAAGGTGACATTCTATAACAAAATGAATTTCTGTTTCCACGGCGTTGCCACAGAGACATAGTCGCTCATTAAGTGGAATGTTGGTGTATCTCCCAGTCTCTAATTTGAGTGGCAACGTTCCGCTTCTAAGTTGGGCAATAGCACGCCTCTGAAAGCGAGTGAGGTTCGCATTAACATAGTATTCCGGACCAATGGCGTGTGTCTTATGTAATCGATATGTTCTAACTTTATTACCATTAACATTGCGTCCGTCATTCCACATTTGACGATGCCAAAGCTCGTGATCACAGTTAAATAAAATATCGTGCAAATCACGAAGTTCTTTTCTGATGTCAGGGATTTCGTCTCGTGTTATAAGATGATCAAAATCATGAGTCTTAATGAGTTTAATTGTTTTTGCTTCCCAGGTCCGAGCTCGACGCATTGACCAAATATGTATATGTTTCATGTTTCTAGAATTGTCCATGTTTTTTAGGCGACACCATAAACGAACTACTGAGACGCGTTGTTTTGTAAATATTGAGGTCCAGCCAATATCTCCCTTCATTGCAATATTAGGTGCCTTTTGTCCTAGTCCCAAAAAATAACGCGCTGCCTTGTGTTGCACTGCATTTATTTCGGTGTACTGAGCATTGCCCCATACTCCCGCGCCATACAACAAGATAGGCTCAACCAAGGATTCATACAGTTTTGTAAAGACCTTATATGGCATGCCTCCAACTGCGTTGGACTTTGCGATGAGGACGCCCAGAGCTCTGTTACCAGATGCTGCTAATGGTTTAACTGTACGGTGCATGTCGAGGTGTTCATTCAGGTGCTTATGTATGTCAAAAATATCTAGAGAATTGAGTTGTTTAAAAGAAGTGGGCTATGTGCTAAAAAGTCAGAATTTGTGATTATTCTCACTGCACGTTTTTGTAACAAAAGCAATTTATTCAAAAAGGTTTTACATGCATTACCCCATATGATGTTGCAATAGTTCAATTGTGATAGTATAAGTGAATTATAAATTGTAATCATGGTTTTTGTACTCAATTTATATTTAATCTTTCCCAGAATACCAATAATTTTTGATATTTTATGTATAACCTTATTTATGTGTTCATTCCATTTTAATTTACAATCAATTGTTATTCCCAGAAAATTCGTATGCATTACTCTATTAAGAATATTACCCCCTATTTTTATATTAAAATTTTGATTTTCATCAATATTTAACTTTGATCTTGTAAATAGCATATAATTTGTCTTGTCTATATTCAAAGAAAGTTTATTTGATTTGAACCATTCTAATGTCTTTTCCATTTCTAAATTTACATTTCTATATAGATCATGAAGATTTTTGTTTGAACATAAGATATTTGTATCATCTGCGAAAATAGTAAATTTAAGAATATTTGAAACCTTATGTAAATCATTTATATAGAGAATGAATAAGATGGGGCCTAAAAACAGACCCTTGAGGTACACAACAAGTGATAATATTTTCTTCAGATAGAGTGTTGTTAAAAGAAGTAATGATTTTTCTATCCGATAAATAGCTTTCGAACCAATTTTTTGCAACATTGCGAATTCCAAAATTTTCAAGTTTTTTAGAAGAATTTCATGATTTACTGTATCGAAGGCTTTCGATAAATCTAAAAATATTCCAATAGCATGAGTTGAGCTTTTATCTAGAGATATCCTCACTTCTTCCAAGAAGGAGAGGATTGCCATATAAGTTGAATAATGTTTTCTAAAACCAAACTGATTTTTGAATAAAAGTTTGTATGTTTCAATAAATGTTATTAATCTATTTTTCATGATCTGTTCTAAGAGTTTAGAAAAGACACTAAGTAGAGATATGGGTCTATAGTTTGAAAATTTTGAAGTGTTTCCTTTTTTAAAAAGTGGGATAACTTTGGCTGTTTTCACCAAAGATATCACCACTTCTATCTGGCTATGCTCATAATCCAATGAGTTTGGTACGTGTTATTTTGTATCTACCAAGACGGTAAACATAAGAAAAATACTTAATATACATTTTGATTGGTCTAAAATGTGCAAAGTTTACCCGTTATGCTCATTCGATCTCAATATTGAATAAAATTAGATATCAGTAGAAAGGCTACTAAAATGAAAAAAGATTGACCAGTAGAGATTAGGAACGTGACACATATTCATCTTTATCCATAAATATGGATAATAATTGCAATTGATTTAAATGCAATTCATTCGCTCTCAGGTTTGACTAAAATATCAG